CTTTGTAGCAAAAGCAATACAACCTGGTGAATGAAACTCTTGTGTTGTTTTTGTTTTATCTTTTTGGTTTTGTTTTGCCCACCATGAGTCAAATAATTCAGTGACTAATATTTTACACAAATGATACTTAAAAAAACACCAGCAGTAATGTGAGACAAAAATGTGGGTACCTGTATCACTGAGTTGGTTCCCACTGCCTTTGAAACCAAAAATATCCCTGGAATCGACGATGTTCGGTTATCGCCATCCCTAGGCACTATCTGGAACTGCAGGTGTACAGATGCGCTCAGTTTGGGAAGGGGGGCTCGCATTGGAACAGCAGAAATCTCCTGTTCTGTACTGGTGACTCCTGCATAATGACTTTGTTAATTGCCTCCCGCTGGCCAGGTGCTGCCAGGAGCCTTCAATGTCTGCACATCTACTGAGCGTTTTTCTTAAAAATGTCAGCATGGAGCATGCACTTTCTCAGCTATCTCTCATGTCGTGCTGGGCAAGGAAAGGTGACTGGAAAATGTCAGCCCTCGGATCAGATTGACCAGCTCTAAGGGAACAGGAAACTTCCCCCAGCCCAGCTCTTGGCTCTCAGAAATCATTACATTTCAATATGGGTGATCCTAGGAGCCGGCAGCCTTTCCACAGCCTTTCTCTGAACTCCATAGCATCTTTTCACCTTTTCTCTGAATTACAAACTAGTTGAAAGGCAAAACTAGAATCAGGTTTCTTATTTGCGTCACTTTTAGTGTACTTGAGAAGAGTTTTGCACAGTTTTACATACAAACTTCAGGGTATAGTTGCGGTAATTCTGTGATGCACATTGGGGGGGGGGGTTACCACTGAGTGGTTCCTCAGGAGACAGCACCATGGTGATTACATCTGTACTGTTTCCGTGGTCTGGTCCATCCTCCAGGGAGGCTGGAGAGGAGCATTTCCGTGTCTTGGGTTTTTTGGATCCTCTGGAACACGGGTTCCTGACTCTGAAACCTGCCTCTACACCAGCCCTGTGGTGTTTGGTGACTTACTTTACCTCTCTGCACCTATAGCTCAGTTTATCACTATAACTCGGGTTCTATCCCAGTTTCATTGTGTACATTCTCCAATGAAGTTTCTTTCAACCTATCTTTATGTGAGGATCCAGTTGAACTCAGAGATACAGAAAAAGCATTTGGCGGTTAGTTTTGTGTCGCTATTGTTATTTTGATCATCATCCAGGATAGAGGAGAGAGGTTGCTTGAGCTTCAGTGTTCCTTAGCCAGTCTCTGGCTGAGCGCCTGCTATGCCCTTTGGGAAGAGGAGAGCAGGGCAAACTATTTCCCTTCCTCCTCTCTCCCCCTCCCCCAGAACCCAGAACCATGAACATAACCACCCACCGAACAACTCAGTGAAACAGTGGAGGAGCGTGACTTAGACTTAAGACTCTGGGCCGCAGACAACGGCTCCCTTTTATTTGGGCGCTAAGGTGGCACCATTTCAGCTTCACATCTCATGCCCCACGTGCTCCGGCTCCTCTGAGCCCTCCTTCCAGCTCCCGCTGCTCAGCCCAGTTTTGGTGACCCTGGGCTCACTTCCCTATCCACCAGCCTCCATAATGACTTCTGAATGACTGCATCTTCGGAGAGGGCCCAAGTCTGAGCTGGGCCCAGAGCTTTGCTTTCCCAGCTGGTTCTCAGGAGCACATCTGCCACAGGTACAGAGACTGGCCAGCCCTGCAGCTGTGTGGGGCCTCCGTGACTCCAGGGCCACAGCCCCCAGCAGGGAGCGCCCACACGCACCTCCTCGCTTTCGGACCACAGCCTCCCCATCTGCTGGGGATGGTCCTGCCCCGCCTGCCTTGCCCCAGACACCAGATCTTGTGGTCATTTTCACCCCTAACACATTTCCCTTGCCGTATGGTTTGAAGCAAAGACTTGCTTTGGCATCTTGTTAAAAATAAGAGAAAGCTTTGACAATAAAAATGTTTCCCTTCACAAAACTCTAAGAGTTCTGTTCATTCTAGGATTAGTTCATTCTCGTGACTCTTGAACAAGACAGCACTTTTGCACACTGAGATGAGTTCGTTGATTACGATGGGGAAAGAGGCAGCCCACACTGAGCTGTATATATCTGAGTCGTCCGTAGTTCGAACAATCTCTGCATCACCTTGGAGTTGCCAATATATAGATTAAAACAGTAAGAAGGTAAGCAGAAATGTAAGCTAATTCAGCCTTGGAAATAGCCAAGTGTTCACTTCTTCCAGGCAAGTCAACATTTATTATTACTGACAACTGCCCAGAGATGGTCGAACACGGTGTGAAGCCCTTTGGTGCCCGGTGTCTCAACAGTGCTCAATAAATGTTAGCTGCTCTTTTATCACGGCCATCAGTGGTACGTGGTAATGGTTATAAAACACAGTTAATCACATAAATGTACAATTTACAAACCACGCTGCCGTATTTCATCTCATATGATACAACAGTCCTTTGAAATATGTTTATCCCCATTTCTCAGGTGAGAGTACTGGAGCTAGAAAGCGGCTGTTAGGATTCGGAACCAGTTTTCTTGCCTTTGATGCTCACACTTTCCCCTGCACCACAGGCACCAGAAAGAGAGCACAGGGTCAGATTCTGCTTCTGTTCCCGGAGAACGACTCCTGGTTAAATCTGACCTGTGTGCACTCCCTGGGGGGCTTGTGTCGACTAGAAGTCAGGAGGCTGTGCTGTGTTCCCGTCTCCGCCACAGATTTTTGGGTCTTGAAGGCAGTCACGTGACCCCTCAAGGCCACCATCATTGGACCCGTCCACACACTGGGGCCAAGTCATACAACTTTCCGTCCACCTCACAGGATCCTGCATTGCTACCTAAAAGCCACGTAAAAGCCTTGGAGGCTGCTTGGTGTGTCGAAGGGGATGCCCCTGTAAGGCTCACGCGCCTGGCTGGACAGAGCAGTGAGAGGCAGCAGGTGAAGTGGGGGGAGCCTGGTCTTCACACCGGAAAGACTGAGCTGTATGATTTCGGAATCTGAACAGTTTTGGCTCCTAGTTTAGACCCTGCCCCTTGTTAGCCATTTAACTTTCTGTATGTTAATTGATGTCTTTGTGCCTTAGTTTCTTCATCTGTAAAATGGGGTTATGGGGTTATTAACACTCACCTTTTAGGATCATTATGAGAATGAAAGGAAATACTACATTGACTGCTCTTGGCACAGTGCCTGGCACGTGGTAAGCATTCAGTAAATCATAGTTTTATTATTATAATTTTAGTTAACCTTCTGAGCATGAATGTGCACTTCTGTGAATTGGGTTTGGCAGGGTGACGACTATATGGAATGTGTACAAATTACCCAGCATGCTGCCTGGCACATAGTGGTCCTCGGTAAACATAATTACCAAGGGCCTTCATATCTCTCTAGATCCCCCCTGTGCTTGTAAGGCCCGCGTAGTGCGTCAGTCACCCTCCTCTGGGCCTTCTAGTCCTCTATAAAGTCTGTTGCTTATCATCTCCCCTACTGACTGGGAGCGTATCGAAGCAGGGGTGTCTGATGCAGGGCTGGCTCTCCAGACCAGCCGCAGATCCTGGTGTCGAGTAAGCTTTCAGAAAATGCTCATCAGTTGAACAAAAGTGTGATGCTACATACTGGAAGCTGTGGGGGTCCAGGCACTGGAGTGTCTCGCTGTCACTGTGGGAATCAGGGTGCCCGTCCAAGAAGGCTGAGCATTGTCAAGGCTCACGTCTCAGATCCTCAGATGGGATGTAAGCAGACATTTGTACTAGATTTGGGGAGCAGGCTTCCTAGCCTTCTCCAGCATCGTGTATCTCAAGGGACAGTGTCCATTCTTCAGCACCTATGGTCCCATCCAGATTGTTGGACAAGACTATTTAGCAGTTGCTACTTTGGAAAAAACATTTTTAACACAGAGATACATGTGCATGACACAAAATCAAAATGTGCAACAGTGAAAGTAAGTCTCTCTTCTGTCCCTTTCCCTTAGCATCTCCTTCCTTCATAGGACATACCCGCTGTCACCAATGTCTTTCCTATCCTTCTAGAAATATTCTGTACATATATAGGAATGTTTTTACACAAAGGTGGTAGCATATCAAACACACTGCCCTGACTGTTATCATATTCCCTCCAGAAAAGTACATACAAAGAGCTCCCTACTCTTGTTTATGGGTCGCACAGCATATTGTGTGACTAGAACCTGCCTGGCCCCTTATTGATGGACTGGTCACCGGTATTTTCCTATTACGGAAGATGCTGCAGTAAATAACCTTACAGTCAGTGTTTGCACGTCCCTTAGCGTGTGTGTGAGTATCTGGAGGAGACATTTCTAGAATTGGACGCTCCGAGTCCCAGGGTAAAGGGTATGTGTATTTTAAACCTGACAGCTTTGTCGAGTCGCCCTCCACAGGATTTATCCCAGCTTCAGCTGGCACGAGCCAAGTGGGAGAGTGTCTGTTTCCTGCTCTCTGCCAGCACTGTGTATTTGCAGCCTTTTCTTTCTTTCATCTTTGCCAAACCATATGTGAGAACCAGTATTTCAGAGTTGAATTCGCATTTCTCCTACTATGAGTGGCACCAAGAGTCTTTTTTTGATATAATTGAGAGCCACTGTATTTCGTATTGTAAATTGTTCCTATGCCTATTTTCCTATTGAGTCGTTGGACTTTGCCTATTATTTTTAGATGTTATTTTTATATTAGGAAAATTAACCTTTTGTGATACAAATTACAGTGTTCCCCTTAAATTAAAGCACAAGTCCTAGACCTGAAACTCCCACCCCTGCCCCTGCCCCTCCAGGCTCCACGAGACCACGAGACCTCGAGGCAGGGGCTGCGCCTTGGTTACTTCCATGTGCCCAGGTCCCTACGAGGGACTTGGCACTCTCTCCTCGGGGGCTACCCGTTGAACTGAACTGACCTGAATCCCTGTGTTCCCCACCCCACCTGCCCTCCCCTGTGGCTTGGGAGTTTCATTTCCGCCTCCGGCAGAAAAAGATGACTTTTCTCATTGCTCACCACAGCCATGCACCTGTTTGGCCTAAACTGGCACCTGCAGCCGATGGAGGGGCAGATGTATGAGATCACGGAGGACACAGCCAGCAGTTGGCCTGTGCCAACGGACGTCTCCCTGTATCCCTCAGGGGGCACTGGGTTAGAGATCCCTGACAGGAAAGGCAAAGGAGCCACAGAAGGTAGGGTTGCCGTGTTGTCCGTGTTGTGAGTCCTCTCTGTCCACCTTTGAACCGAGGAGACCATTCTGCGCATCATGTGCCTGACTCATAGCTCCATGCCCTGGCGCTTCCTGCATCCCTGTGCACTCCACGCCCTGCACTCCACGCCGTCTGCCAGTCCACGTGTGTCCTCGTCTCAGTTCCTTGTCACTGTGAGCTCATAGCAGGGCATGGGCAGGGCTCACGACGCTCAGTGTATCCCATCTCATGCCTCCAGGGAAGCATTGCGGGTTTGCACACTGCTGGGGTGGCCGCCTTTGACTGTGTGGGATCCAGACAAGCTCTTCTGGGGCAGCCTCATGAGATAAACGGGCATCTCCAGGAGTGGGGCCTGGTGAGGTGGGTGGATGGTGTCTTGTAGCTGAAAGATCCTTGGACCCTTGTGGTTTAATGGAAGCACCAGTTCAGGTGTTCTAGCATTTACCAGCCATGTGACCTTGAGCAAGTCACTCATTTTCCCATGCTCTAGTTTCCTCGTATGCAATAGCAATAGCAATAATCATGAGTGTTTGTACAGTGTGTTTGTTTCAAAGATTTTTGCCAAGAGCATTTCACATTTAATCCTCACAGGGATTCTGTGAGGTAAGTATAATTACGAGGGGGAGGGAGAGAGGGAGAGCAACATCGATGTGAGAGAGATACATCAATCACCTGCCTCCTGCACGCCCCTTGCAGGGGATTGAGCCCAGAATCAAACTGGGACCTCTCTGTCCATGGGATGACACTCAATACACTGAGCTACACCAGCCAAGCATGTATACCCATTTTAGATGCAAAAACTAAAGGTCATATTAATTAGGTGACTTGGCCAGTCACCCGCTAGTAAATAATGGAATTTGGAAATTGAGCCAACATCTGCATGGCCCCAGGGCTCTTGCTGTCTCCACAAGTTGTCCGTCCTGACGAATCCTGTAGTTACAAGGCCCTGAAGGAGATGTGGATGAGAAATCTCATTGTACAATGAGACGCAAATTTATTTTTCCATCATTGATAAAAATGCTGGTGAAATTTGGAGTTTGGCATTCTAAATGGGACATCATTAGACCATGTTCTGAACTTCTTAGGGGTCTTTCTAACATGCCACAGACACAGATTCTTTCACTGTCAGCCGAGAACGACACAAACTCACAGATATTAGTACCAGGAAAGATGTCTGAGCTAACAGGCCAGTCCGGTGGGCATTCTGAGCAGCATGGCCCTCCATCTCCTGCACGTGATGTGACTTGTTCTATCTCTCTGGTGTTACCTCAGTCAGCAAGGTGCCCATAGCGGCCTCTGGCCCTCACTGCCTACCTCTTTCCTTTCCCCTCATTTAACCTGGAGGTCATGGCCTCTGAGCCTCCCTGGCCTTCCAAGGATTTGTCTTCTAGGCATCTGTGTGGGTCATAGGGTAGCATAGCGCCTGTTGCAGTATCTATTCTTGGTCACTGAAGTGATCATCTTGAAAGCCAAAATCAACTTTTTACCTATAGTCATCTTGAAGGGAAGTAACCGGGAGGTATTTCCACAGGGCCAACACCATCTTCTCCTTTACAAAGATTTTAAGACTTAAAACCTTGAATAATGTATACTTTCCTGGCCCCTTATTAGGACATGAGGACACATGCATGGGGCCATGGGAAGAGCTCTGGCTTAGGAGTCAGGAGCCTGAATTCAAGTGTGGCTGCTGCCCACTGACCTGTGATGTCACTTTAAGCAAATCCCTTGACTAGACCTTCTGGGCTTCATTTTTTTTCCTCTTTACGGGGAGGCTATTGAGCTAGATTATCTCTAAGATCCATTCTAATTTGCCAGTTCTACATATGAAATTAGACATAGAATCATCATGTGACCAACCAGATGGCTCTTCAGAATTTTTTTTTTCAAGTTGGCCCTGTCCATGGTCCTGCTGGTTGGCTTGGGCTGCCCGAACCAGTTTATAGTGTCGGATGCCACAGGTGAATACCATAAAATGAAGACTGTCTTTAGATCAGCATGTACAGATGCAGATTTAAGATACATTTGACCCTAAAGCTCTCGGTAAAGGGTCTTATTTAGCAAAATATATTTTCTTCCTTCCATGATCTCTATCAGACATTCTTTAAACAGGAGTTAGATGTATCTGAAATCTCTCACTCTAATGAAATTAGCTTGTGGGTTGTTTAGGCTAGGAGCAGGAGGTGAGATAAGAGACAAAATCCAATTGCACTAGCTTATTGGTTTACTTTAATTGGAGTATTTTTGCTTGAAGGAATTATCTATCATTACTAATGCAAATGGAAGCCCTGTTCACCAGACCCTCAAATGCAGTGCGGCGCGGGAAAGTGGTCAGCATCCAAAGCAATTCCTGTGACCAAAAAATACATCAGTCTGGAAAAACAGAGGAGAAAGCTCTCCATAGTTTATGTGAGACCACCTGGTTCTTCATTTCTTCCCCTGGTCAAGCCAATGTCTACTCGGTTTATGTTTTTAATCGTGATGTTAAAAATCTAGTTCCTTCGACACATGTCAAGGAGGAGAGTCTGTAGCCCAGATGTGAGTGCATATTTCCGGTCCCTTCCGAGGACATCAAAGAGGAGAGCTGGTTCCGGAATTAGAATTAGAGACCCTGTTCCACAGTGATGGGGGAAGCAATGGGGTATGATAGAGAAAGGATAGATGGGCTTTGGGACCAGGGACCCCAGGGTTTGACTCCTGGCAGTTACTCCATCTCCTTTGGTCTTAGTCTCCTCAAAAAGTATCGGTTCCTTTCCTCCCATCTATTCACATCAAAAGTCATTCCATATCAGTTATTAGAGTCTCGGAAATCCAGACTGATTAACATTTTATCCTTGGGGCATTTTTGAATATTGTTTAATAATGCAAAGGAAACATTGGATGAACCAGTATTTTAAGTGTTCACCATTCTTTGAGAATAACCTCAAACTACAGTATATACTATACTTTCAAAGTGACTATAACCATTTCAGGGTTGTCATAGGACAGAAACCAAATACAGCAGCTTTTGCAAGTAAAGCCACAAGAACTTACGTTATGCATTAGTGGAGAAGGGGGGAAAGGCAATGAATAAACAAGCATTTCTGATGGTTGAATTGGTGGGCTAGGGGATAGCATTTACTTCTTTCTGCAATGAAATCAAAATTGCCCATCAGTTTGAACCATGGAAATTGCTGCACTCAGGCTCAGCTGGGCTCTCCAAAATGAAACAGCTTATTTTGATAACCAAATACATTCCACACAGTTGCTAAGGAAACTAAAGGATACTTTGTGCAAGTTATTGCATTGAAAAGAACCAAAAAAGGTGGAAGCAGGGGGTAGAATATTATTTTATTAGGAATTTAGAACCTATGTAGATGGAGCTTAGTTCCGGAGAGTAAAGACTGACTGAGCAAGTGCATGGACTTTCGGTTCTTAAATCTCTCATATTTTACTGAGCTAGCCAATCATTTCAGAAATTTATTGAGAAATTTATTTTATAGACATGATTATTTGTTTGCATTGCCATAGGAAGCCTGAGTTTGTATATATTTACAAAGAAAAGAGTAGAATTGTCAGTAGAATCTGACTTGTGAAACCTAATCGTGGTGCTGGTGGTCCCTAATCCTGAATTAAGTACGTTGTACTGTTTATCATGCCTCTGGGGGCACCCACTGATTGGATAGTGCCTGTCCTATGAATGTTTGAGATGCTGGCTGTCACCTTTAACTTTGAGGCCTGTTTGCAGGTCCCTACTTCATAAAACTTGTCAACTTCTTGTACCCCAGGATTCCAGGAAGTTTGTCAGTGGGCCTTGGATCTGCCTGGTCTGCCTTGCTATTTAGCCTGCTGGGACTGTGCATTAAATTGGACTCTTAGTTTTAAAGGGGGTCAGCACACTCTGCCACCATTGAGAATGTCTTTGAAGAGTTGTAATTAATCATCCATCAATTTAATGCTCTAAGAAGCCATATTCCAATAAATAAAGAGGAACTCCAAATGGGTTCATCTCTCACTGTTTCTTAAGCATTCTGACAACCAGTATATACATTTTAATAGTATGAGAATTACCTGACCCAATATACATGCAGGTGCCCACCATATAGTTGGTGTTGAATAAATGGTGGCTAAAACTACTTCTACCTTCATTACTATTACTACATTGTTATTATTATTATTATTATAAATATATTATAATTATATGATTATAATTACTTTCCAGAATGTACATAGGGATAAAAAGAATTATATACGCAGGTCTTTTCTCCTCCGGTTGCCTCTGCCTGCTCTCATTACCCCAACACTGGTGGGTTTTGCCATGTAGTAGGATATTTGCTGTCCCAGTGTTCACAATTTGGTGCTCAGAACTAAGAGCAAAGAATCTTGAGTTATAGGATCTGGAATGAGGACAGCAGGAAGGGTTTTTTAAAGGCAGGATAGGATGGAGGTGGTTTCACTCTGAAGTTTCACTCAGCCCGTAGCCCAGCCGGTCTCATGCCTCTTTCCCGTCAGGCTGAGGTCCTCAGCAGGCTGCCGCTCTTTCCCCTGAAAAGTCCCTGTCTCATCCCTGTGGTTACTCCAGGGGGCCCCTGGGGACTGCAGGGGAGAAGAATAGAGGTTAAGTTCCAGATGGGAATCCTCTTTCCCCTATCACAGAATGCCTTTAGACCAGGTTGTGGTCCCTTCCCTTAGGGTCTAGACGGGTTGACTTCTGGTCCAAGGTCACCTTTTTTTTTTTTTTTTAATCCTCACTCAAGGACATTTTTGCATTCATCTTCAGATAGAGCGGGAGGGAGAGAGGCAGAAAGAGAGAGAAACATCGATGTGAGAGAGACACATCAAGTGGTTGCCACTCACACGACCCCAACTAGGGCCGGGGACAAACTGCAACTGAGGTACATGCCCTTAGCAGGACCCGAACCCAGGACTCTCTGGTCCACGGGCCAACACTCTAACTGCTGAGCCAAACTGGCCGGGGCCCAAGGTCACTTTTGAACCAAAGCTCCAGAGTAGCCCTCACAGCCTCAGCCAAAAAAGTCAAAGTCCTGGGCAGGGCAGAGGGGTGCCCTAGACCAGAATTTACTATTTTGATTTCATCATATACACACCGAAGACAATTTTTTTTTCTGCCGTTTTGGCCTTTTTGGTGAAATACTAGAGTGCTGAAAAAGAATATTCCCCTTTTGCCCCTCCCTCCTCCAGGGTAAGAGCCAATTGAGACAGGCCCCTGGGGCCTGCAGACTTCCTGAGCGAGTCTCTGGGCTTGGCCCCTGACCTCTGAGGCTACAGAAGCTGATACAATAGCTGTCTCCGGCACACATGTTCGCTGAAGGAGAAAATGAGCTGTGCGTGGTTTTCCAACAGCATGCCAAAATGCGGGAGGAAGTCTTCTATTTATTCTCAGACTCAGGAGTTATTGGAAGGCAGGCCATTCTGCAGTCGCACCCGCCCTGACTCCCACCTACTCACAGAGGAAATGAGTCCTTGGGATTAGCAGTTTGGGGCTTATTTCTATGCAGTTTCAAGGAGTAAATAGCCCAGAACTCATCCTGCTTTCATTCCGTACTCCCTCAGACTTCTGCTTCCCGAGCAGAAGTAGAAGCCGGAGGGGACACTGTCTTCCACCTGGACTGTAAAAGGATGGTGGTATTAGGAAACCAGAAATCGGATAAGGAAGTGTGAAAGTAATTCTCTTCCATCTCCGTGCTCTGCGAATTTAGCTTCTGCCTTTGAACTCTGAACCCCTGTGTGGTGGTTTGTGCGTGTCTCCATTTGCAAGGTGAACGTCTGGGGCATGTTGCTTCCACCAAGGAATGAACCACAGGCTCTTTCCCAGGCTAATGACAGAATGCTGGGGGCACTTTTATTGAGAGCACGCATTTTTAACTTTTTTCTGTTGGCATATTTTTAATTAAAATAACATTTAACGGTTTGAAGCTAAAAACCTGATGTTTCTGCCTGGGAGTTTATAAGGGAATGATAACATATGGAGAAGTTTAACATTTAAATTGAATTGTATTATTTAAAACAGTAAAATATTTTATGACTACAACAGTGCCCTGCCAAGCTCCGTTCCAGCATCAAATGTGCTTTGTAAGGGATCTTACAAAGCTAGGGGAAAAAAGACATTTTAATTTCTTATTCCCCAAATGCTTTTTATAAAAGTTCCCATAAATGTATTTTCTTTACAAATGGATTCTTGTTCTCTGAAGTGTCTCTTCGAACATCTCTAACAACACAGCAGGCTTGGAACTCGGATGCCCAGGGGGTGATTTCTAATGACAAATCAGATGTTGGCATAATGTTGGTTTGTCATTGTCCTAAGGGTGGTCTTCTAACATCCCTAGAGCCTCCTGTTCCCTCAGAAGGCAGGAAGTTAGGTTTATATTTTTCACATGTGAATGTGTTTAATTACCAAATAGAGGAAGTTTGATAAGCAGTCTTCCTCCCTGGCACTTGGGGTGCCCCCAGAAAGCTGTCACTCTTGTGATCGGTGACAGAAATGGTCAAGAGACCTTACCCCTAATGACCCCAACTGCCCTCACCCCCCTGCAGCCTACAGGGTTGGGGTCTGGATCAGATTTCCAAGTATGTCACAGGCTTTGTGCCTGAACTTGAGACATTCCCTCAACTTGACTCTCTTTAGCACAAAAATGATATTCAAAGACCTTCATCCTAGACAAAGAAGCATTTCTCCTCTCTTCACAAGTACGCTCTTCCTCATCTTCCCCAACCCTACCCCGCTCCCAACACAAACCCCCTTCCACATATCTCAGCCTCAGAATTTGACTTCTGATCATATATACACCAGTGAACTTGCAAAATGCCAATCAGGTCCTGCTTCCTGCTGCTGGGAGAACCAGTCTTAGTTGGAAATTTCATAACAACACCTTTTCCCTCTAGCCTTTCTATTTTAGCATGCACGCTTTCACACACACACACACACAGCACAGTCTCATGTGACTGCAAATGATTATTTTTAGGATCAAAATATATCTTAACAAGCTGTGGAATTATGCAGTAAACAGATGGCCCTTAGGGAGGACCCACACCACTCTGGAGGAATGAGGATTCTTTTGTTTTTTTGTTTTTTTGGTACGTGCCCCTAGCGGGAACCGAACCCAGGACTCTCTGGTCCGCAGGCCAACGCTCCAACCACTGAGCCACACCAGCCAGAGCAGGAATGAGTATTTTCAGCAGAATAATTTGCGTGTCACTGGAAGAGAGTTCTGGACGTTCTTACGCTTCAGTAGGGGCACGGGGGATGGGGGTGCGCTGGCAGCAGACCGTTGTAGAGAGGAGTGTAGAGAGCAGGCGGGGAGTCCCCCTCGTTGGCTGCGCTAATTGCTTGATTCGCCTGTGTCTAATCATGACGTTTTTGTCTTCCCTTCCCTGTGTCTTGGTAGGAAAGCCCAGTAGTTTCTTTCCAGAGGACAGTTTCATAGACTCTGGAGAAATTGACGTGGGGAGACGGGCTTCCCAGAAGATTCCTCCTGGCACTTTCTGGAGGACTCAGGTGTTCATAGACCATCCTGTGCATCTGAAATTCAATGTCTCTCTGGGAAAGGCGGCTCTGGTTGGCATTTATGGCAGAAAAGGCCTCCCTCCTTCACATACACAGGTAACCAGAATCCCACGTGCCCTCCCCCTCCCCAGGCACCCACCTCAACTTTTAACCCAAAGACAGGAAGCCGAATGCTTAAACCTGTGTCCTTCAGCTTAAAGGGAATTTTATATATTTGATAGCCCTCCATCCATTTGCCCGATCTCAGGCCCTGCTTTTCAGATGCGTAGGTAGGGTTACATCCCTGGGCTGTTTAAGAGGAGGGAATACTAGGAAATCTCTCAATTGCCTTTCGACTACCACCCAGTCTCCTAAGTTAAATTATCTGAGAAATATAATCTAGAGAAAGAGGCACGCACTTTGGAGCCAGACAAACCTGGGTTTGAATCCTCTTATTATCAGCTATGAAACCTCAAGCCTGTTACTAATCCTCTCACAGCAAGTTTCCTAATCCGTCAGATGGAGGGAACAGTGCCTACCTGCAGGGATGTTGTGAAGACTAGAGACCAGCATTTACAAGGCAGCTGGTGCAGGACCTGGTTCAGAGTAGATGTCATTTCCCTAGGCTCACGCGCTCTGTCTCTCCTTCAGAGTTCCACACTCAGGTCGCACCAGAAACGCTTACTAAGCTCATTCAGGATGACTGACATATGACCAGTCACGCTGGATAAAGAACAGCCTTTTGTAAAGTCCTCCCAGCTCTGGGATTGGAGTAACTTAAATCATAGGTATCCAGCAGGCATTCCCAGGCCAAGTACAGTCTTCCAACACCAGTCGTTAAGATTTTTAGGTCAAAGCTAGATGCTAAGGATGGAATCACAGAAAAACAGAAACAGCCTGCGCCCCTGATTTTTTTGTAGAATTGCAATGCTAGCCCTAGACCTCATGCCTCCAGACATCTTTAATGAGCTAGGATAAATATCTATCTTGTTTTTTAAAAAGACAGAAAGAGAGAGAGGGAGGGAGGGAAAAAAAGAAAGGGAAGGAAAGAAGGAAGGGAGGAAGGAAGGAAGGGAGGGAGGGAGGGAGGGAGGGAGGAAGGAAGGAAGGAAGGAAGGAAGGAAGGAAGGAAGGAAGGAAGGAAGGAAGGAAGGAAGGAGAGAGAAAGAAAGAAAGAGAAAGAAAGAAAGAAAGAAAGAAAGAAAGAAAGAAAGAAAGAAAGAAAGAAGAAAGAAAGAAAGAAAGAAAGAAAGAGAGAAAGAGAGAAAGAGAGAAAGAGAGAAAGAGAGAAAGAAAGAAAGAGAAAGAGAGAAAGAGTAATTCAGTGTGCTTGCTAGTAGACCGGTAGGACTTGACCATCTCCCTGTCGGTAACACTGTGTGTCTGACTTCTCTTAAGTCTCATAGCAGCAGGCTCGGATCAGTTGGCAGTGGTGTTCGACAGAGCATGTAATCATTGATAGAGTTTTGGGCTAATCCCATTAAAACTGCTCCCTGAACCTGGAGCGCTTAGAAAGGATCACTGACAAAAGGAAGACGGATATAAATCACCTTCTCATTTGCACTTGACTGACATTGAAGGTGCATCCAGGGCTCCAGTCCCAATCCTGGGGCCCCAGGAGTCCACAGGGTTGGAGTTCAAACCGTAGCCAAGTGGCTGGGTTTCTGACCACGTGCCCGCCATGGGAAAAGCATGGTTGTTCCGGGACACTCGGCCAGGTGAAGACCTGCCACACACACACCAAACTTAAAGCAAAATGAGACCAAAAATGAATCCACTAATCAGGCTGCACTTGCAAGAGAACAAGGAGACTATGGCCATGAAAAAAATGGGGTCTGGGGAGGACTTGGAGGTGGTCGATCAACCTTCCCGTGGCTTTAGCCTCTTTCTCTTGCCCCGGGTGTGCGTCCTTGGGCTCTGCCCAGGAGACGTCTGAGGAAAGGAGCGTGCATTGGCCAAGCAGGCCCACGACTAACTGTGCTCTTTGTGCCTCAGTTTGACTTTGTGGAGCTGCTGGATGGAAGGAGGCTCCTGACCCAGGAAGCCCGGAGCCTGGAGGGGCCCCAGCGCCAGTCCCGGGGAGTCGTTCCTCCCTCCAGCCACGAGACCGGCTTCATCCAGTATTTGGATTCGGGCATCTGGCACCTGGCTTTTTACAACGACGGGAAGGAGCCCGAAGTGGTTTCTTTTCTCACCACTGCCATTGGTAAGGAACCGCCACCCCTCGGGGGTCCGTTTGTGCGAGAGGACGCTCGGGGATGCTGGGAGCTGAAGCTGAGCAGGGAACGTGTCCAGCCCGGAGCTGTAAATGCCACCTGCTGTCTGGCATCAGGCCGTCTGACCAGGCCTGCTGGACACGGAGCGAGACTGCGGTGTAGGGACGTGAGGGAAGGGGGGGCAGGAGGGCTGGAAGGCCGTCTGGGCTGGCTCCTGAGCCCAGGGCTGCTGCCCACCGCCCTCCACGTGCTGTCGCTGGCGTGGCGTGTGGACCAGCAGCTGCATCGGAAGGCGGGGGTGGGAGGAGGGCTGACTGGCGCAGGGACCCTGGGTGACCAGCCACACGGAGACAACGTTTCTCCTGCTGAAACTTCTCCAACACCTGTATTTTTTAAAAATAGTCTCCCCTTGGTTCAATTCACCGATTTCTTACTTGGGCTTTTTTGGTCTGTTTTGCTTTGGGAGCGCTCAACCCCTGGCGGATGAGAAAACAAGGGAAAGGCTTGGCGAGAGAAATGGCACTGCAAAGGGCTGGGTGACCAGTGTCACTGGTCACATTGGCTTCTGGTGGGAATAGAGGTGTCCTGATCTCCAGCAGAGAGTGAGCCCTGGGTTTTAAACCAGTGCTAACACCTTCGAGTCCCTCCCAGGGAAGAGGGCCACAGCTCCCGGTTCCGAGTGAGCCCGTGGCCACCTCCCACGCCCAGCACTCGTTATAAAGAATGTCTCCCCTTTACCCTCACATTCCACAGCATGGGTCCCCTCCTAAGGTCACCATGTGTGCCAGGGGACGCAGTGATCAGTGGTTCAGGCAGAAACCATTATTTTCTGAGTTTATATAGGAAGTGTTATGATGTAGGCTGGAGATAAAAACTTCCTACAGGAAACTAAAACTTAGGGAAAGATAAAAACGTCACTAGCCAGAGTGCCTGGGGACAAGGTTTCTGCTTAATGAAAAGTCCTGTGTGGTTTAGAGCTCACTCAGAGTTCCATCTCAGTCCTCAGCCTGAGTCTCTCTGACACAGAAGGTGGCATTGAATAGACACCTCTGAACCTGGTCCTTGGTGTCTAACACCCTTGCAAGACCCTGGCTCTCTTTTCTGAACAGCAGCTGCCATTTCCTGACCACCTTTCTCTTACTTGAACCCTGCCCTTAGTGCTGAGGCCAAGCATGCCTCTCAGTGAAACCCACGCATGACTTAGCAGCGTCTGCCAGCGCGGCCGGCTCAGTATTCTAGCCTCTTGGCCAAGCGACGGAGGTGGGGCTGTCAGGCTGCGTTAGCTCTGATGCAGGAAATACCACTTGTGCCGACCTTGTTGGCAAGGGTATGTCCCAGCGGCTGGACTTGGACATATCTTCTCTGCCTCCCCAACACCCAGCCAGGCGGAAAAGGGCCTCGCTCAGTTCCTAAGGGAGAGCGCGTGGGCGTGGCCTTTCCTCGGCCGACCCCTGGTGGACTGGCAGCAGCCCGGGCAGGGGTGGGCTGTGGCCTTCTCCCGGGTGCTGCCTTTCGAGGGAGAGAGGAAGTATGCTCAGTTCTGAAGCTCTGCCCTCACCTGTGATCTGACCCTGCACAGGTTGCTTAAGTTTTCCAGCTCTTGGTTTCTCAAGATCCTGGGATGTGAGGCAGCCACTCCGTAGTCACTGTGACCTGGGGGCTAGGGGTGCGGCTGCGTTCTGTCATCGGAGAACCAACGTGTCCTCACCATCAGTTAGGCCGTCACTGTGGGGTTTGCAGACGCCAGACCCCGCTGCTATGTTCTTTCTGGACATGGCAGCTTCAGCTAAGGGCACGATTATCAAGTCACCTGTGGTGCCCGAGTTCCAGCTTCGGGTCTCAGCCCACTTTCTGGTCGGCACGGTTCACCAGCCAGCATAGAGCACCAGGCTTGCTCAGAGCTGAGATGGCTTCCGATCTGAATTCTTCATTTGTAATAACTGAGCATAAATAGGAAAGGATATTAATACAAACCCCCAAAGAAAGTGACTTTTAATTAGGATGTGCCTCTTAGAGAAATCAAGTGAGGTACAGCCAAGTGCCTCGTCAAGTCTTGGCTTGTAGGAGCTTGGTAACCTGCTTTGTCGTAATTAAGGAGTCGGTGTTGACTCCCTCTGGTTCTCCTGTTTCACCGAAATGATAAAATCTGTCTTTGCCTCCTTTAACCCTATGATGTCTGTTAGGGCAGCTTGGCTATCCTGTGCTCTTCCGTGTTACGAACCACCTGGTGTCTTGCTCCTGTGCAGATTCTGCTTCTGCAGATCTGGGCGGGTCCCTAGATTCTGCATGTCTCTCCAGCACCTGTGGTGCTCGCTCTGGACCACATGTGGACAGCAAGGGGTTCTAGTATCTCATGGGTGCTCTCAAACATCGTCGTACAAAGGAATCCCCGGGGAAGCTAGTTCAGAATTCAGGTTGCTCCATCTTTCCCCACGAATGCTGACCAGTAGGGCCGAGGTAGAGCCCAGGTGATGCTGATGGTCTGTCTGTCAGCTGAGCTCTGAAAACAAATGCCTTGTGAGCGCCGCTCTCCATTCCTGCCTCCCTAGCTGTCTCAGGTTAGCTCTGCGACCACGGGCAGTCACCTCGCGTTCTGAGCCTCATTTTCCTTTTCTGGAAATGAAAGAGTAGTATTACGTTGCCAGCCCCATTGTGAAGATTATAGAGAGCAGATATCAAGTGCCTAGCGCGGGCATCGGGCGCGATGAGCACTCAGTAAGTGCAGGTTGTTAATATTCCCTGCCATCCCTTCCTCCTCCACCTTCCTCTTGCTGCCTTTCTAACTTGTCTGTCTTCCCTCAAGCTACGGTGATTGTTTAATGAATACCTTCTTTTCTTCAATGCAAAAATAGACCAATTGTGATGTTATTAATCCCTTTCTCCCCAAGAGGCCCTGGCATTGAGTCTCAGCTGTCTGTGGTTGTTACCAGTGAGTTATGAGTTGTAATTTGTCTTGGCAGGTTAATTAAAAGTTTAGGTCTTGTTTTAGTGAAGTCATTATGGTCCCAATATACAATTGTAACTCTCAGGTTTGCTTAACACACAAATTGGAATATGACCTTCCCTTCATTACATGTTGAAATGTGGACTAGAATTTAAGAAGATCGGAGATGTCAGAATCCAGAGTATTTATGTCTGTTTGTAATTAAGTAACAGGAGAAATAATTGTATTTAATTTAGCAAATGGCTAGATGGTGTACGTTTTTGCTTTTCCCTCCATTTAATGCAATACAGCTGACGATTTTAAATTAAATGAGTTTATCTTTTGCCTTGGAAAAAAAATCTAAATGCACTTTACAAACTGTATACACAAATATATACACACAGAGACCTGATGTTGACAGAACTCCCTGTGAACTAGATCTGTTTACACACACACACACACACACACACACACCACTGAAACCAAGCAAGTTTTAGAATGAAACATGGCTGTTTTTCTCCAAAAGAACAGCCTTTCCTCTACGTGTGGAGATCCAGAATTAGAGGGTAATGTTGGTTCTGGTCCTGGTTCCCTTGGGGTGGGTGTCCTTGTTGACCCCACTGTTGAATGAAGTAGGAGGATGTATACCAGTAGCCAAAATATAATTAAAGGGCCTTAAATACATTCTTTAAGCCATATTGCAGATGAGGAAACTGAGGCCCAGGGATGTTAAGAGAAAAGCCAGGACTTGAATTTACATCCATCTGACTCCAAAGCGTGTGATCTTCCTTCTTTAGCAACCTGCCTCCTTCCCAGGATCAAAGCCCCTTTTTTCTGTATTACATTTACTTCTGCTTTCCACCCATCCGTTCATGCAGCAAACATTTAATTTTATCATTTTTTGAATTTCAGTTTTCAATTGCAGTTTATGTTCAGTATTATTTTGTGTTAGTTTCAGATGTACAGCATAGTGGTTAGACAATCATGTACTTTGCAAAGTGCCCCCCCCCCCATACTTCCAGTACCCACCTGGCACCATACATATTTATTACAATATATTGATTACATTTCCTCTGTTGTACTTTATATCCCTGTGACTATTCTGCAAATACCGATCTGTACTTCTTAATCCCTTTGCCTTTTTTATCCAGCCCCTCTACCCCTCCCACCTGGCAACCATCAGTCTGTTTTTATATCTGTGAGTTTGTTTCTGTTTTGTTTGTTTGTATGTTTATATTGTTCTTTAGATTCCACACATAAGTGAAATCATGTGGTATTTTTCTTTCTTGGACTTTATTCACCGAGCATAATACCCTCTAGGTCCATCCATGTTGTCACAAATGGTAATATGTTGTTCTTTTTTATGGCTGAGTGATACTCCATTGTATATATGTACCACAATTTTTTTATCTACTTGTCGATTGATAGGTCCTTTGTTGCTTCCATCATTTGGCTATTGTAAATGAAGCTACAGTGAACATAGGGGTGCATATATTCTTTCAAATTCATGTTTTAGATATTTACCCAAAAGTGGAATTGCTGAGTCAGAAGGCAGTTTCGTTTTTAATTTTTTGAGGACCCTCCATATTATTTTCCGTAGAGGCTGCACCAGTCTGCATTCCCGCCAACAGTGCATGAGGGTTCCTGTCATTTAGCAGACATTTAGAGAGCTCCTACTGTGTGTTGAGGACCATACTCAGCTCTTTTCTGTATGTAATTTAGTCCTTACAAGACCTTAGATGCCATGTATTTTGACTTCATCTTTATAGATGAAGAAACTGAGGCTCAGAGAATTTAATTGACTTGCCCAAAGTCTCGGTCAGTAAAGACAGAGCTAGGATGAAAACTTACTTGGTCTCCAAATCCCTCACTCTCCACACTGTGCTACAGTGTCTGACTATTTGCAATGATACTATTACATATTTTATTTATATTTGTATTATATGGGATATAATTTTCCCTTTATTAATTTGCAAGCATCTTATATCAACACAGGAAATTTTCTTGGAAAGTCATTAAAAAGACCATGAAAAAATATCACAGCATCCAAAACTTTTCAAATAAATA